TGAGTGCCAGGGTGAAGGTAGGGGCTGCCCTACCTTCCTTGCCCAACAACTCCTCTTGGAGGCCAGGCTTAGTCTTTGCAAGAAAATCAGCTCATCTCCTATGATAGAAAGCACGAGGCACCTTTGGAATTCTCTGAGAGGTACCTGTCTCTCTTCTTGTCCCCTGGTAAAAGTATTTTGATTTTCACAAAGAAAACCCGTTTCTCTGTCGGCAAAGTGCTTTGCTGTTCAGAACTGTTCCTAAAACATCCTGATATGAAATAAGTAGTGCTTTTGAGTTCTGTGGGCGCATGAGATCAGAACTCTTTGAAAGAGAGCAAGTTAAAACCTCACAGTGAAGCTGCAGCAGAACACAGCGGGAGATGGGAAGTGAGTTGCTCTGTTGGAAGGATAAACAGCTAACAGGTCTGATGAAATAAGCTATTGTGACCGACCAATAAAACTGCACAACACAATAAGGCTCACAGGACAGACAAGGACAATGTGCCCATGAAGCTCAGAAATAACGTAGGGTCTGACTGATGACAGCTGTTGCAAAGAAAGCTGCATTTATCTCAACAGAGGGGAGGAGAGGGTGGCCTTTGTTTTAGATAAACCCTTATATCAGTTTAATGGATTGACTGGTTGCGTTACTGTTTCTTTGAGTTCATCAAAAGTGTGTGAATGTCTCCCTGAGTTAGCCAGACTCGGGGTGGGGGGGGAGGGGAAGAGAATGTATATATGGCCCCGCCCAACATAGAGTATAAGAACTGAACAACTAACAAAAGAGCTCTGAAAAGAGTAATAGGTTTGGGCTGGTTTCAACCCATGTATTCCTACCTGGTGACTGGGGACACCTAGTGTTGTGACGGTGAGCATGTTACAGAGACTAGTAATGGGAATCACATTGGTATTGTGCTTGAACTATATATTACAATTGCTATATTGTGCTAAGTATAACACTTGTATTGTGATTTCAGTATGTTGCTGTATCACTCTGCTAAATCGGAAAGCCATGTAACAAACTTCTTTAAATAAGTAAACTTAATATTAAAAATTACACCCTCCACACATGGAACGTCTAAAGGCATGTGGTTAGAGAGTATTGGACTCTGACAGCTACTGATAAGGAGTGCAGATAATGCAGAACTAGATCACGAGAAATACGAGCGTGCAGGAAAATGAAGCCTTTGGGACCAAAGGCTCAAGGCATCACTTGCACTTTGCTTGCTCCTCAGAAATACAACAATGCCAGAGCTAGAGATGACCTAAGTACCTGGACACAGCACAAGTAATAGACGAATGGCAAATGGATTTGCCAGCACCGTACCAACAGTGTGGAGCTCTGTAGGCCTACTGCCCCATGCATGGGGTATAAGAGCTTTCGAAATACAGAAACGTGCTCCAGAAGACCTCACTTTCCTCATTCTAGATGAATCTGTTTGCACTTGAACTATTTTTTTTACAGGCCACTAGGACTGGTTCATCTACCAATGTTACTCCTGTCTGTTCTCATAGGAGCACATAATTCCTCCGGTCTCCAGCCAGGTCCGTCCTGCCAACTCAGCGGTGTTGCAAAACCAACTCTTGCGGGACTCGGAGCACGACAAAGGTGACTCTACAGCTCTAGAGGTCGCTGCAAACCTTAAAGTCTTTGAAAGAGCAGCTTAGAACAGCAGACACGAAGCAATCTGAGAGGCAAGGCCTTACTCCCCAGCAATACACAAAAGGGTAGATCAAAACGGGGGAGGGGGGGAGTGGGGAATCCATCACCACTGTCACCTAGAGTGGCTGAGATACTTCATGAGCTACCTGGGGAGGATGTGCTCCCTTTTACTAAGCCATGTGTAATAACACTGCAGTTTACCAAAAATCACAGTGCCTTCAGCATGAAGATCATTAAACAAGAGGGTTAATTCCTCTGAAGTGTTAGTATCTCCTGTCCCAGGGGATATTCCCAGAAGTATCTCCTGTACCTCCGAACACTAGGATATTTGCATGGTGTTAATGCATCTGGAACAGAAGCTTCTAGATGTAAGTGTAATCTGACTAAAGATGTTCTGTGAGTATTCGAATGCTTGGTTGGGCTATCTGCAGGTATTGGTCTGGATTCATATCACTGCTAATGAGTGCATACACTAGCTAAATGCTCAAACACACTTGGGAGCTTCCAACTTCATCGACTGTATGACAAAGATGTGGAGTGAGATGTGAAGATGATGATGATGCTACCGTTGAACATGATGTTTCACATTTGTAAAAAAACTATCTGATTTTGATATCATTTTGTTCAACCTCAGTTGTTACTGTATTGGATCTATAAGAATGAGAGAAAGGTGGCACTCTCAGCTTTGAGTTGGCAAGGACGATGCACTAAGTAGGAGACTAAGCTAAGCACTTGAACAGACAGGAGGGTAGGCGATCTACGTGCTCTAGGACTGCTGTGGGAGTGTCTTCATTTTCATCCTCTTTTACTGGGTCTCTACAACTACTAGCATGTCTCAGGATTGCAAAATACACAAGAAACCCACATGCAGATCATCTATTCCATGGCATAGTATTACACGGCTTGCTCATACAGGGTTCCAGGAACCAGGAATGTCTAAAATGCCAGTGATTATCCTGCATTCAATTCATCATTCTTGGCTGCAGTGAGAGGCCTAACAGGGTATGTAGGAACAAAGAGAAAGCGTCATAATTGTTTCTCTCTGTCCCAATGCACCTACCACATTTTATTTCTTGTCTTTTCAGTCTCTTGAGTCCACATGATCAAAAGACAATGATCAGGACAGAAGAGGCTAAGTGTTGCTACCAATATGAGAATTATTCTGCTGGCTACTTTTAGAACACAGGTGGTGGTGAAATAATACTGTTGTACTGCACCATAAGTATATTTATGCATCATAAAGCACCCAACAGCTTCACAACACTTCTGTGCAAAAGCTGCTGTTGTTTTGCTTTCCTCAAGTCTGAATTTTCTATGTCTTTCAAAGCAGTTGCTGTGACTTGCTTGAACCAACCTGATGCAGTTGCATACACAGGTGTTACAAGCTGTGTCAAAAGCAAAGGATGTAACTTGATCCACGCTTTTTAACCAATGCCATCATACTAATCCCCTCACAAACCTGGCAGAGGTACAATTGAAATCTAATACAAATGAAATCTAATTGAAATCTAAGTCAGTTAAAAAACTGACTCGTGATACTGAAATTGAGCAACTAACCAAAAACGAGCATTTTCTCAAAATGAAAGCAGAAATATTTTAGTAAAGGCTTTTCATCCATCCATTAGGCCATCCAGGCCTTTTTACATCCATTAAACAATCCTTATTCTATACTCGTTTTGTCACAACTTGTGTCTGTGTAAAGTGGCAAACCACGAAGACTGAAAAGGGAACAACTTCCATGTTACTTCACATTTCTACCAGACAATAGAAAAAGTTTGGTGCATCACCAAAATAGCCATCCCAGATTTCTGTGGCTACCTGCATACAATATTCTCCAAGAGTACTCGAGGAAAGTGTGAAACATTTGACAAAAGTACTCCTCCGTGTCATTAAAGATAGCAAAATCTAACCTGAAGCCTGGAAGTCCTTGCCTCTGGAGACCGTTGCAAGTCTTCATGAGCATATGACTGCACCTGAGAACCCCAGCAGTATTCCTCACTTCAGTGATGTGATTTCATAACACAGCAGCAGTAAGTTACTTTTGATCGGCCTTCCAGAAATAGAGAATGAAAACCAAATTTACCTCTGTTGCTTCTCTTTCTGACAAAGCTACAGGCATGACAGACTGATTTTTTTTTTTTTTGGGGGGGG